GCAGCTGGAGGCTGGAAACGTGGTTTGTTTTGCAATACACAATGACTTCAGATTTAAGAAATATACATGTGTGTGCGTATGTGTATATAAAAAAGTGGCAGAAATCTAGGAGTACTGTTGCCTTTTTATACCCTTGAATGTTCACTGTTTCAAATTCACTCTTAAACTAAGAGCAGGTCACTACTTTTGGATTTAGCTTATCAAGTACGCAAAGTACTTCAAGATCTTCCACAATGGAAGATGCTAAATAAATGACATTCTCAATATTTACATGTGGGATTTTCTCAGGATGCTTCCATTTGTAAAAACTCATAACTCGTTATCAGTCACACTTCAATATTTAAGGACGGAAAAAAGAACAGATTAGAAACATGGCTCAATTATTTCCATAGAAATTTAAGAAATCCTCTATTTTAATGACTCTGCAGACTTGGACTCAGCCTGTAACTTTGAACAAGTCACTTTAATATTTTTCCACTGACAGACAATCCCCTCTTCTCTTTTAGGCTTTTCTCTGGCTTGACACCAAGAGTCACCAAACAGCATAAAAAGTAACTCATGATGTGCCTGGACAACATGAGTATTCAAAACAAGCTTGAATACCACCATATATTTTCACCCCACTTGCTAGATTACAATAACAGAATTTAGTGTAGAATTTGGTGATTCAGTAAGATAAAGCCTCAAGGAATTGTCTATAACTGAGCTAATAATTAGTATCCTTTGCTGGATGCACAATGTTTTAAAGAATAAATTGAGAGTTTTCACTAATACCATTTGTTTCTCTAAGAGAACAGCATTGATTCTGCAGAGATCTCACAGATATTTCTCTCTCTTTCCACCTCTGCAATCCAAACAAATCAATCTCCCATGCATTCTATATACTGTCTGTTTCAAAGGCAAAATTTTGCATCATCTAAAAATACTTCTGGGCCCATAAACCCTTCAGGACAAAGCAGAGCTTGGTCCTTGGTGAACGGACAGCAAGTCAAGGTAGTGAAATCACTTGTGCGGACATTGAATTTCTAAGAACGTGTTAATGTCATGTGTGCAACTCCAGAAGGGAAAAGAGCAGCTACAGCATCCAGGCACCTTTCTATCCTGAGCTGCAAAATCAGGACAATTCAAAGTGAAAGCTACTCTGCCAGCATCTTCCTACAAATGAAGATGAGCTTGATGGTAGACAGATCCCATACGCAGGCGGTTCTCTGCAAAAACAGTGCAGGCCTTTGCTACTACCTGCTTTGGAGAAGAAGGGAGTAGGAAGCAGCTTTCCTATTGCACAAAACTGTTCAAGATTTCACACACACGCCATTTCACATTGAGGCACATCCAAGAGCTTTTACATTTGTTAAATATTTTGGAAAAGACACATATACACAAAAGAACCTGAGACAGGAATGCAAGAGAAGAGCAAAATGCTTGTCAGTCAGGTGAGAAAATGGCTCAGGTTTAAATCCCTATCCTACAATTTTATCTAGTATTTTAATTCAAGCATAATATTTACACACTTACATAAAGGTCAGTTATCCCAAAAGGACAAGATACACACTCTGGAAGAGTCAAAGGTTGGCATTTGATATGGCTCTTACCTGGGAAATAGCAGAATTGAGACTCAAACTTGAGTATCCTGGATCTCGGGCAGACTGAGCTATTCTGGGATGGATCTAACTTATTTGGCCAAGAATCACTCTATCAAAATCTGTGTAGTTCCTGTGCTGGATATGGAAAATCCCTCTCAATTTACCAGTTCTGACCATGCGAGCAGTAACTCTGCTAAAGGAGCAACACGTCAAGCTGTGATGGAGAGATGTTGTGAAGCCAGTGTTAAAACAGACATCTGACTTTAAAAGCCTTGTACAGTTAATTTTTAAAAGGCATACGCTAGTCCTCCAGGATGAGACACATTCAGAAGAGATCACTGCTGTTGGAGCTGTACTGATTTACATAAACTGAGAGTTTGGCACCAGTTGTCTGTGCCGTTGCAATCCTTAAAATCAATGGGAGATAAGAAACCATCCTGAGATGGCAATGGAGACTTTATCACACCTGGGGGATGCTGAAAAATCCTTTGCTCAGCCTCTCAGATCAAGGTAATGGGACTGCGCATGGCACCAACCTGTCACAGGGAGTCATTAATGAGCAAGTAACGGGAATTAGAGAGGGAAGAGACTCATTAGAGCACTGAGGTTCTCCATCTGGCCAGAATAGGTCTGATTCCTCCAGTATATCCTCCACTGATTGGCCCTCTAGACATGACGCACCAAACCAGCTCCTTTTACGACTGTTATTTATTTTACTTATTTATAAGGCATTTACTGAGAGGCAGCTAAAAGCCGTACTTCAAAAGAAATGCAAAACCTTCATAAAAATAAGTAGAAAAAAAAGCCATTGATAAGACAAATTCAGCCAGTACTTGAGCTTATTTTTGTGGGTTTTTTTTCCCCAAAAGGAAAAAACAACTAAAAAAAACCCCATAAAACTCACATAAGTCAAAGCACTATCAGACAAACTTCCCTACGCTCAACAGGGACAGCCCCCAAAGAATTAGAGAGAAAGCAAGCAGATACAAAAAATAGGAAAAAGCTCTCTCTACCCCTTGACATTTCTGTAAGAGATGGGATAAAAAAAAGTCTATAAGCTCATGACCTGGCTGGAGAGTGATCCAGTAGCACATAAACAGAACCAACTGTCCTGGCTAAGATTTTTATTCAACACATGAGGAAGATTTCCATTTTCATAGCAGAAAAAAGGAGCAGGAGGCATTTATACATGAAATCAGCCAAGATCAGCTGAGAGCTACAAAGATACTCCTTGGTCAGGAAGCAAGTCCTGAGCGGCCCAAGAAGAATTTAAAGCACCCCAAAGGTTCAGACTTCTGCAAAAAGAGTAAGGAGAGCAAAGAGGGAGAAAGTATGCAACATTTATTATTTTTGTAGTGTTACTCAATAAAAATGAACAATGTTTTAAAATCCCAGTACGAAGTTGACTTCTTGTTTCATTAAAAATAGCCATTCCCCAAAGACAGAAAAAATATAGCCGAGACTGCCCACAACCTGGCATTTTGGGAATTCAAACAACAGAGGCATAGCATGGGGAGCTCATGACACCTTTAGCATCCCAAGGAGGAGAAGAGGATTTCAGGTGCATAGTTTTGGCTCCAAATGCAACAGTAAACCTGGAAAACCCCAAAGAGGCTGGGGTAAGGCAGGAAAAGAAGGAAAAGGGGACCTGTGATTGGATTTATGCAACACTGAAGGACATTCAACACACCATGTCCAGTGCAACAGGAGTACAAACCATAATCTGGTGAACATCTGCAATGCAGCCGCTCGTTCCTTGCTCAGCTTGCGTGGTGGTACACAAACAACAGCACTGACTTCTGCTACATGCCCTGAGATGGAGCTTGCTGGGTTTCCTAAAGAGACCACATTGTACAGCTGTACAGGGCAGAAGGGATCATGGGCATTCTTTCCCATTTTATAATCCTGCAAAGTTCTTTACCTAACGTGGATTAGTTCTTACTGCAAAATCTTAGCAGTACACTCAGCATCCCTCTCCTGAAAAGATGTACTCACTTTTGGGGAAAAGGCTATGAAGAAGCCACACGCAAACTGAATGAAACTGACTTTAGCAGACAGAAAATAATATGGGTGGTGAACAGAGCAACAACAGTAGAGTGTCTTATGGGCATTTCTTCAACCTAGAAGTACTTTAAAAAGCATTATAAATTCATAGATTCATAGATTTTAAAGGCCAGAGAGAGCAATTCTGATTATCCAATCTGATTTCCTACCATAAAATTCTGTCCCATCACTCCTACATCAAGACCGCAGACTGTAGCTGGACTAAAGTATATCTTATAAAAAGACATTTGAATCTTGATTTAAAGGTTTGAAGCAATGCCAAATCCATCACATCCCCTCAATAAGCAGTTCTAATGGCTAGTTATCCTCATACAGAAAGATTGAATTTGTCTAGCTTTGACTCCTATCTCCTGATCTCGTTATGTGTAAGAATGTTAGATTAATGAGCCCTATGCTATCTATTTGATGTCTTTCTTCCCAGAGAGGTACTTACACACCATGATCAAGTCCTCTTAGATGTCTCAAACAGAAGTTCGGATAGCATGCATTTTAGAGTCTGATTTGCAGACTTCAAACAGTTGTCATAGCTCTTCTCTGCACCCTCTCCAATTTTGCAAAATAGTTTTAAGTACAGGCACTGTCATTACCTGCTTCACAGAGCACTCAATACAGGCAACTCTTAACAGAAAGCGCATCATCATGCACTCTATGCCATCTCAAGAGGAGAAACAAAGACCACCAGAAATTGCTCAAAACCTAATTGAATGGATTAATGCAATTCTTACAAAGAATAAAAATAGAAATTGGTTCGTGGCATTTCAAAAAAGATGCACCACTCATCTTAAGAGTTTCTCAGGATAAACTCCACTACAGCAGGAGTTGTGATTACAGCACGGAGACATATCAAGTCAGCCCTAACCTGGCTAGTTTGGGTGTTAATAGCACACACAGACTCACGAGCAAGTTGCAAAACTTCACACTGAGCCCTTGGCTTGGTAGCAGAAGTGCTACTATCATTCATCACTACCATTGTCAAGGTAAAACTATTAGTGCTGGAGCAATCAAGATTGATGCTAATCAGGTATTTCTGTGTGTCATACTATGGTTATATACCCATCTATAAGCAAAGTACTAGTGATCACAGCTGGGAAGTTCAAGCTGCCACAGTGGCCACAAGCCCAGGTCACAGTATTAGAGTTTTCTCAAGGAAAAGCTCAGGAAAAAGGGCCTGGGGGTCCTGGTAGACACCAAGTTGAACATGAGCCAGTGATGTGCCCTTGCCGCAAAGAAGGTGAATGATCTCCTGGGCTGCATTAAGCAAAGCATTGCCAGCAGGTCAGGGAAGGAGATCCTTCCCATCTACTCAACACTGGTGAGGCCACACCTGGAGTGTTGTGTCCAGTTCTGGGCTCCTCAGTACAAGGGAGACATGGACATACTGGAGAGAATCCAGAGCAGGGCGACAAAGATGATTAAGGGTCTGGAGCATCTCTCCTGTGAGTAAAGGCTGAGAGAGCTGGAACTGTTCAGCCTGGAGAAGACAAGGCTGAGGGGGGATCTTATTAATGTATAGAAATATCTGAAGGGAGGGAGCAAAGAAGATGGAGCCAGGCTCTTTTCAGTGGTGCCCAGTGACAGGACCAGAGGCAAGGGGCATAAACTGAAATGCAGAAGGTTCCCTCTGAACATCAGGAAACACTTTTTTTTACTGTGAAGGTGACTGAGCACTGGCACAGGCTGCCCAGGGAGGTTGTGGAGTCTCCATCCTTGGAGACATTCAAATGCCATCTGGACATGGTCCTGGGCAACAAGCTCTAAGTGGTCCCGCATGAGCAAAGGGGTTGGACAAGATGACCTCCAGAGGTCCCTTCCAACTTCAACCATTCTCTGATTCTATGATTTTCTCCGCCTTCTGCAGCGCATGGTTGTCCTTCACCCCAAGCACCATCAATCTCACCACTGCTCTCCAGTGTCCCAGTGGGCAAATATCACTGGCAACCCGAAGATGACTTTCAGTGGCTGAATTTCTTGGATTCTGCTCTGTGAAGAAAACCGTTGAACTTGTGGTATCCAAGCAGTTTGCCAAAAACTGTGAATAACAAGTGTTTTAAACAACTGTTTGTATAATGCATCTATCAGTTAATCCTCTGAAAAATAAGAAAAAATAAACAAACATGAAGTGTGCATTTCCTATTTTGCTTTTGACCCATTCAGAATCATCTTGTATGTGCAGTAATTGAGATTCTGACAAACTACTGAAGAATCATAGACTCATGCAGGTTGGAGGGGATCTCTGGAGGTCTCTAGTCCAACCTTCTGCTCAGAGAAGGTCCACTTAAGAGCAAGGTGTTCAGGGTCTTGTCCAGCTCTGAATATCTTGAAGGATGGAAATGTTACAGCCTCTCTGGGCTCCTGTTGCACTGGTTGACCACCCTGATGATCAGAACCTTTTTCCTCATATTGAGTTGTAATGTCCTGTGTTTCAGATGCCCTTTGCCTCTCGTCCTTCCACTGTGCACATCTGAGAGGTTATGGTTCCACCTACTCTACAGTCTCCCATTAGGTAATTAAAGACAAAAATATGATTTCTGTAATTCATATTCAACTTGTGGTTGACCAGTACCCCCAGGTCTTTTCTTCAAAACAGCTTCATAGCCAGCCAGCACCCATCCTGTCCTGTTGCATGGGATTATTCTATCCCAAGGCACAAAGGAAAATGTGAATAATTATTTTTCTTCTGATTTTACAGCAAGGTGGGCACTTGAATAACTTCATGGAGCCTACTCAAAGCCTACATTTGTTTCAGGCCTTCACCTTCTGGGGTAGTGGAGAGCAGCAACGAGGCTCACAGGTGAGGTACATCCATGTTGCAGGAGGTCCTGAACTCAAGGTGATGATTGTTGAAAGTAAACTTGAACCTACCCATCCCTTGTAGTCATAGAAAAATTGGTGCTTGAGTTTTCCTGGCAGAAGAGATGACTATGTTTTAGAAGTTTTACTTTCCGTCCTCTTCTAGCAAGGATTCCTTGCTACAAGGACTGGGGCCTCACCCCTGGGACACGTGGGGGAATAATTACAGAAATAAGGAGGCACTAAGATCCTTTCTTTACACCTATGCCAGCCCTCTCTGTCACCCAATACCCATAGACACAGAACAGAGCAGACAGAGAAGCTGTCCAGGTGATTCAGAAGCAATTTCAAGGTCCACCGTAAAATCGGCACCCAATAATTTTAGATCCTTGTCTGACACTAGTGAATTTTAGAACTGGGATACCATGACATTAACCATTCTACAATGTTAGTTTGTATTTATCTGTAAAATACATCCCTCCAGCCCAGCCCGACAAAACTGATGAGCCAGAGCATGTCTCCAAAGGAGGGAAGCACTTTGCATCTGTAGGGTCTGAGGAGACATGAGCAGGAATAGCATCCCCACTCAATCTACAGAGTGAAGAATAACAGAAGAATTTTGGTGTTGGTGTTTTTATAAGGGAGATAGACAGATGTTTTGCAAGCTCACAGGACAGGCTCTGAACATGCTAGTGCTGCAACACATTAGAAAATGAGTCTGGCTTGTTCCACCTTTCTGCACTCTAACTCCCTATTGTAACAGATGACACAATTAAAAATAGAAAAAGATGTGGTCTCAGCAAGGATTGGAATATATCTGTGCCTGTTTAATGGAACATATGGTGGAATATTTTTACATCTTATAAAGAACTGTGTATTGGACATGTGCTGGTGCTCGTGAGATGCAGCAGCAGAAAAACTGCATTAATACTTGCTCCCTGCCAACAGGAGCTGCCATACACCGTGTACACGCACACGAGTCATCAGCAGGACAGCACACAATTGACTAGGAAACCTTTCATTATACGCACCATTGGAGTTAATTCGGAAGACATTGGCTGAAGTCTCCTGAAAAAGTTCCTGTAGTTCACTGGGATCAATCTGGGTGGCTGTGAAGACAAAAAGGCAGAAGATATATTAATACTGGAGACCACCGATCATTTTGAAAGGGACTCACCTCCCAGCTGATCCTTTGAAGAGGGATGCAGAGCCCTCCTCACTGCAGAAATTTAGCCCAAGTAGGTGGTCTGATGTAGCCTTACGCAGTGGCTGACCATGCAACTTGCACTGGACAGTCAAATACCTACTTCAGCACGTTCAGAACAGTAAAGATGCTTCTGCAACACGGAGGATACAGCCCACATGGATTGAGACAGCATTTGTAGGAATTATTAGCAATTGGAATAGAAATTATTTCTGCTTATTTATCAAGTGGGAGTATCAGAGCCACGAATGAACAAGAAACCGCAAGCACAACAGCATGGTTACCCATCGCTTCCCAGAGCAGGAGGGCACGCAAGAGGGTCCTGCCTTCAGAAAAGGGGAGGAAGCAGTGAGCAGAGTGCAACGGCTCCATGGGCTCAAAGCTTTTGGGGCAGGAGGGAGATGGGAGCCCAGGTGGGTCTTCCACACATTCATCTTCCAGCCCCCAAGAGAGGCTCCCCTTCTTCCTATTTCTTCCTGATAGCCCAACTGCAAGGATCAATGAGTCAGTGCCAGGAATTGCTATTGCTGCTGCCCAGATGACTTCTCTCAGCTTCATTCCCAAGGTCCCACTTTGGTCAAGGTACCCAAATCTGCCCTACAAGGAGAACACTGAAGCGAGGGTTTGAATGTTTGGGATTTTGAGGTTTGGTGGTGTTTGTTGGGGTTTTTTTTGTTAGCTTCATTTCCCAACTTTAAACCCCCTGAAACTATCCTGAGCTCCTCCACAGCTTCATCATCCCCAGAGAAGAAACGACGTGAGGTTGGACTGGGCTATATTACAGAGAAAAGATACATCACACAAATAAGCTTTAAACGGGTGTTTAGTTTTTGATTGGTAGTAGTCACCAGAGAAGCAGTCATTTATACCTATGTCTTTGGTACCAGCTTTATGGCAGCAGCTTTACAGCAGATTTTCTTAAGGTTTTGCCCTACTCTGCCTCCCACCTGGGTCAGCTTTTGCAGGTTTCCCAGAAGCTGCTCTACCTGAAACTTTGGTCAAGTCCAAAAGCACCGCAGGGCTTGTCCACCTGACACACTACAGCGCATTCACACAGCCACTGCTATTAGCAAGCCGCTTCTCTGAGCTGAAGCATTACAGAAACTCAAACACGAGCTATGATTCGTATTTTCAAGTCAGCAGACTGCTACGACATATTCTGCTTCCCTTAACCAGATTTCCCTAAGCTGTTAAACACCATGTCCCCAACTGGCACTTGAAAGTCAGCGATGGAGCAAGGTGAAAATCATGAGTATTGAACAAAACGAGAAGCCTGCTTGATGCACTGCTCAGGTTAGTCCTGAGGATGCATCTCCCGGTGCTTGAGGACAAGCTCCACATCCAAACAGCGCAATCGGGATTTTCCACTGCTTCTCACACATCTCACCTGCACCAGCATACACGTGAGATGATTCCGCCCTGTACCAGCAGTAAATAAAGTCTTGGATCAGTCTGTCAGGTTGACACAAATCCAGGGCATTAAATGGTGTTTAATCCAAATGCACAGGAGGTCATTTCTAGAGATTTTCCCACTCTTCTCTTCCTGCAGTTCCTCCTAAATCAGCTGTCCTAGACAGTCCTTTCCTTTGCTTTATATATGAGGCTATATAACACAAGAAATTAGCTTGGGCTTACCCGTCCCCCAGGAATTTCACTTGTTACTAACAGATCCAGCTTTCATTAAATCACTGACAAAATAGCAGCACGGGATAAGATTTTTTAGATCTTTACAGACTGCGCTGATCCCAGTTTCAGGAGGTTTTTCTCAGATTTTCAGTGTGCCAACACACTCTGGGTTAGTAATACAGGAGGATGGGCGTCCAGGACATGGCTTCAGCTTGGCTAAATTTCCAATTGCATGTGCTGAGAGGACCGGTCCACACATTTTGTGATAGAGGTTTTTTGGATGAGTGGGTTTTTCTGTGGGGGAAAGAAGGGTTTATTTACCTATTTATTTCCATTCTTTCCTTAGAAACACTGAATTTGCCTCAACAGATTTCTAGCCTGGCCCAGTGATCCTGAGTCCACACACACTTAGGTACTTTGCCGAATGAAGCTTCTGATGAACCATGATGTGACCAAACCAAGGGTTGGAAACTCCTTCAAGTCGTCAATTATAAGCACCTAGCTAGGAACAGTATTGCATTAAACCCCCCAAATAATACAGACTCCAGACCTCAATGTGTTCCCACCTGGGGACACTCCTACAGATTCACAGCATCCAGCAGGTACTGCTGGAGAGTCATTTAAAATGCCAAAACCGCCCCAACAGCAAAGATGAAATATCCCAAATGTTGCAAAAGGCAGAAGCACCAATTTCATTGCATGGACTGTGCACGTCTGCATTTCGGAGTCCCTGCAATACCATCAGAAAGAAACACTGAGCAACACTGTGTGTCCAGAGTTGGTCCATAAAGTTAAAAACTACCCAGAAATTCAAGTGCTAATTTGGGAGGGTGGGATTTGTCCAACCTCCCCTGGGTGGCCATGGAGAGACCAATTTGCTCACCCTGTACCGCATTTCCCTAATGAGAAAGAGGCAAAACACAACAGGACAATGTGTGAGGATTGTACTCTGAAGACATGGAAATACTTAAGTTTTTAAGCCCCAGCATATTTATTTTAGCCAAATGCAAGAGGACTGTGAGATGATGAACTCCCCCTCAAAGGCTTGAAATCTCAATTCATATATATCTAACAGAGAGCGCCATGACAACCCCACACCTCAAACAAGTGCAAATTAAATGAAAAAACAAAGGTAGATGCAACCTTTGTCCAGAATTTCCAAACAATTACATTGAAAATGCAATGCTCGGAGAATGGCTTATCTGAGAAAACTGCATTGAATCTGGCTTGCAATTTCCTGCCCCTGAACTCTTATTTCATGTTACAGCATACTGCCAGTTCTGGTTTTATTTTATTTTTGTTTTAGAAAAGAAAATAAAATAGTAAGAAGGAGCTTGTTTTAACTGCTCTAACTTCAAGCTTCCACACATCAAGCAGAAATGTTGTAACTATTCATGGAGGATTCAGCAGTTCAAGCAGACAAGCAAAACAATTTAAAAACAGCAGCAGAAAGCAATGCAAAAATGCATCTGTACTGCCAAGCTAAGTGAAGACATACCAAGACTGTGAAAGAAAGTGAATGTGAAGTACATTTGTGTCTAATAAAAAATTAAATGTCTTTGACTACATAAAGTGAGTGCTAAAATATTACAATTCCCCAAGAAGGAATATGAGGTTGCTGATATCCAGTAACCACTTTGCATGCCCCAATGCTAATAGAGTTCAGGGCCACAACTTTCGCTCGCACTGTGGGTCCTGAAAGCTGTGAAGGGTTTGTGGTGGATACATCACAGAATCCTATGTGCAAATCACTTCCCCTCCGCTTCCTTAACTGGATATTTCCAAAAACATTCTTACAGTTTCCAGATACTTTCCCCATTTGCTTTCCAGCAGAATCCCCTTGGCAGGAGACAGGACAACCCAACTTCCTCTGCTATCAGCTCAACCTTCTCCCCACCTAGCAAATAGTGATGACCTGTTATATTTATTGCAATTGCTAAAGCAGTGGCAATCAACACTGGCATTTCTGATATTTTCCTACTGTTTATTAATTCTTCTGTCTTTTAACTGAAAAGCTACAGGTGGGTGCAGCAAATGGAAGGGACGAGCTTTTAAGTACATGCTCTGCCAAAGCAAAGTGTGTTTATACACGCTCTGGCCAACTGCAATGGGAGACCTCAGCCGTGAGTGTGATCTTAGGGAAATGTGCAGCTTGAGATAGAGCCACTGCCTCGTAATCCACCTTGCTGCATTCCTGGAAATGCATTTATCGGCTGTTCTTTTTGTTGTTGTTGCTTGCGTGCTTATTTTGTTTATTGCACCAAAAATCCCGTTCCTTCATAAGAAAAGTAGTTGCATCCCATCATGTGATAACTGCATGTGTGCAGTACGAGATATTCCTTGTCCAGTGATGCTGACAGTGTACTGAGGAGGGACGGAGAGGGAGGAGGAGGAGGAGTGGGCATCATTGAAGCCAAACAGTCCCTTTCACCAGACTTTGCTGCCTTCTCCCTGCTGTTAACCCTTCCCATTTCGTCATTTCAGCAAACTGCCTCAAAATAAACCTTGAAGGGAATATGTCCACTAGTAAATAAAACAGAGTGAGGGAACAAACCATATTTTATTGTTAGCTGGCTGCTCAGCTCTGTATTGCCAAGACAAACTCAGGAGCTGTTCCGGGGATAGTTTATCCCATAAATTGCTTCCTCCAGGCAAAAATCAGTGAGACAGCACCAGGTTTAAATCCAGACATGCAACACCATCTTACACCTATCTGCTGTGCGGAGGTGGTATTCTGACCTCTGTGATATGCGTAGCACTTTGGACCAACACCAAAAAAAAGGAAACTGAATCATAAAATCAGAGAATCATTTGGGTTGGAAAAGACCCTTAGGATCATAAACAGTGTTACTGCCAAGTCCACCACTAAACCATGTTGCTAAGCACCACGGCTACCCGTCTTTTAAATACCTCCAGGGATGGTGACTCAACCACTTCCCTGGGCAGCCTGGTCCAATGCTTGACAACCCTTTTGGGGAAGAAATTTTTCGTAATATCCAACCTAAACCTCCCCTGGCGCAACTTGAGGCCATTTCCTCTTGTCCTATCGCTTGTTACTTGGGAGAAGAGACCAACACTCGCCCTGTTACAATCTCCTTTCAGGTAATTGTAAAGAGCAGCTGAACACCTTAAAAATCCATACAAGCCTCACACATGATTTTTGCAATCATTATTCCAGTGGAGACTCAGAGTGCTTTGTGTTCCACGTTTCAGTGCACTTATAATCTCTAATTCATCACACCTCTGTCTACAGGAGACACTCGGGATGAGGACTGGCCA